GTGGGGAGTCAAAGGTTTACATGCAAGTTTTCAACTGTGAGTGAGTCATTGCCTCTGACCCCTGCACAGTTCAAGGGTCAGCTGTATTTGCAACTAGGTCTAGGTTCGCCCCAGCTGCACACCTGTGAACACCTGGCAGGCACTCTGCCATCTTCCTCACCTGCCTGCTGCTGGGTGTTGCCTTCTAATAATCTCCGTGGGGAAGGAAGGAACCAACCCTGATCACCAGGTATTCCCAGCGAGGGTGGGCATCCACGCTCCCATGTAATCTTTCCACCGGCACCACGCAGCTGGACACGCAGCAAGATCCACTTCCCCTCCACCTGCAGTAGTAGGTGCAGAGGAGAATGTGAGGCTCGGAGGGGGGAAGTGACTCAGCTGAGTTCCTTCAGGGAGCCTGTGTGGGGCTGGGACAGATGCCCAGCCAGTCAGGACACTTCCCACTGCAGAGTCCCAGGGCTCAGTTGCGCCTCAGAGCCGCCCACTCCCTTCCAGCCTGGACCAGTGGGAGAGTTGTGACTACACAAAACTGCCTTGGCTGGTGGTCTCTGTGCTTCCCCCACAGTGAGCCCCTCCCCCACCCCGATCCTCCTGGGACCTGCCCATGTGAGGACCCTCCCTCCGTGGAGATCGGAGCGTGCTGCCAGGCACTGGCCACCAGCTGGAGAAAGACGTGTTTGGGAAGGGACCCCCGGGGGCAGGGCTTAGTTCTCTGCAGGAGATAGGGAATAGGCAGCGGACATCCCATTCACCTGGCAACTGAGTGTCTCCAACTATCCGACACCTAGTCACAGCAAGTGCCTGCCCGGGGTGCACCCAAGCCAACCCCCTGCGCCCACTCCTTCAGACAGACCGGGCCAGGGGATGGGGGGACATCACCGCTGTTATCATTGTGACTGCAGTGCCAGTGCCAATGTGTTGGCTCTCGCTTTCCAGCAGTGAGAACCCAGGTGCAGAGAATCTCGGGAACTGGCCACGTCACCAAACCTGAATCCTTGGTCTCCAGCACGGCGCTTGACCTTTGCCCCAGGCAGGCCACCCCTGAGCTAGTGTCCCTGCATGAAGTCAGGCCGCAGCGCTGGCCTGGTGGATTCCCCAGACACTGGCTGTGTCTGGAAATACCCCTCACAGAGCCGGCCCCCCAGCAGTGGCTACGAGAACATGCTGGTGGTCTTCGGTCAGCACTCTCCCTTGAGAAAGAGTTTTGGCCGCCACCCCGCCCCATGTGGAGAAGAAAACCATTTCCTTCTTTCCCTTCCCTCTGAGTGTTCCCAAAGCCCTCCCCCCACCCCCAGCGCCCCATCCCCGTGCTTCCTGCTCCGCACCCCACAGTCTGCGTGTCCGAACTCACCACGCCGAGACGCACACCTGTCACATCGAGATGCAATCGTTCCCACTTCAGCAGACTGCACGCCCCTCTAGGGGTAAGTCCCCGCCTCGGGGCAGCCTGTCTGCCACACACCCCTGCCCTGGTGGATGCTCCCTGACAAGATGAAGGGACGCGGGCCCGCAGGGGGTGTCACGCCTCCAGAAGTAGTGCTCCGACCTCGTCCCCACACAGTGTGCTCAGCTGGACAGGTGGGGACAGCTGGCCCCCGCTCTTCTGACTCTGGTCCTTTCATGTTGGATCAGTATCTGCCGGTCCTTCACTCGCCCCAAACCCGCTCAAGACCTTGGCATCAGCGACCTCCCCTTGCCAAGTCCCCGTTTCCAACTCTGTTTATCAGCCCCTTCCCCCACCATGGTACTGACAACACATCACTGCTCTGAGAATCTAAGTGTATTCCTCTCACACACACCAAAGGGAAGAAAGTGACGGAATTGTCAGAGAGGCGGAAGGGTTTGGTGGTCAGCTGCCACACATTCCTGATTCAACATCCAGAGGCAGAGCAGTGAGCGACGGGTGTTCCGCTGGTTCCCGAGCCAGAGCCAGGGAGGCTCCGGGAGGCGGGGAGGGTCTCCGTCAGGGTTCACGCCTGCCTCCTGTGTCCTGCTCCTTTATTTCCAGAGCAGGCGGGAGCTCATGGTCCGTGCTCAGAGCCAAACCCCCGGCGTGAACTCCCAGGAAAAGAGTTACCAACCCTGCCTGGGCTGGAAACTATTAGGTTTTGAAAGCAGAAGAAGCTGGGAACGGTGAAAACTGGGAAAAGAAACCAAAGAAGCAGAATACTTGTTGCGAAAGTTTTCTCCAAGTCCTGGGCTTTTTCCCAAGGGCCCTGTTCCTTTTCAGACGAAACTAATGAGCTCTGCATTAGTTTAACACTGGAGGAAGAAAATAGCATTTTCTTTTTACCAAAAACTCCCACATTTCTTGTTATTTAAAAATATATTTGCTGTTTCCCAACTCCTGGGGAAGAAAAGGGATGCTCATTTTCTTGCTGTTTTACAGATTTTTTAATTGGAAAAAATACAATGATAATGACAATAACTACTTACACACATCACCTCATTTACTTTCCCCAGTCCTGTCTTCACCACTGTGGAGCAGGGAGGCCCCACAGGCGGTGAACCAAAGCTCAGAGAAGTTAAGTCACCTGCCCAGACTCACACAGCGAGTAACAAATGAAACTAGCGACCATATCACACCCTATCTGCTTAACCCTCGTTTTCCACTACAAAACTCCCTTTTCCTGAGACGCCACTGCCCCGCCTGCCCCAGTCTCTACCAGAACAGAAGTGCCAGCAGCTCATCCAGAAAGCTCCGAGGTGATGATGTGACCAATCTTTATTCTTTTGGTCACATCATCTCAAAAGAAGTAAGATGGGAAGTTTAACAATTATTGCATCGATAAATTTAGCTACACTTCTTCAACTCTCTAATAGTGTGAGAGCAGCAACATATAATATATACATGTTCCTAAGGGAACAAAATTACTTTAGACGAATAATCTTTTTCAAGTAGTGCTTATGTTTCAATTTCTGTTTCCCCTGCAATGTGCCTTCACTGTTGTCTTTTACTGTGGGCCCTCTCTGGTCCCTTTGTGTCCACCCACAAACCCCAGGTTGCAACCTGAGTTCCTTCTGCTGCACCTGTTGCAGGTGGAGGCAGCAGGCTGCCCATCTCAGCAGGACACTGGCCACTGGCAGGTTGGTAACCAATAGTAGTTACTACTCACAGAGTCCTCCATGTGTGGCCTCCCTGACCCACGCACAGTGCTGTGAGGCAGCTCATACCAGTGCCACCACTTTGAAGATGGGACACTGAGGCTCAGAGAGGTGAAGGGTCTCGCTGAGGACCACACAGCCCAAGCTGGGCTCTCTTCTCATGCTTGTCTGCTTCAGGGGGGTTTGCCTTGGCCGGACCACCAGGCCTGAGTCCTGGATTCCCACTCCTGGCCTGGGGACACACACAGGTTTAAAGACACACCCCAGGTGGAAGGTGCTGCAACATCCAAGACCAGAGGAGCCCCAAACCCCTTAGGGCCTGCCTCATTTAATCCTGACAAGAACTCTTACGATGAGGTGGCATTTATTTATTTTACAGATAAGAGTAGTGAGGCTCAGCGTGTTCAATAACTTGCCCAAGGTCGTCCAGGAGCAGGGAGGCCCGGGAATGAGAGCCTTGGGCCTGTCTCTATCCCTGCCTTCTCTGGTCCCTGGGCAGGGTGCTGACTAGCTGCACCAGGCCCAGCAACACGTCTGTCAGGGGGAATAAGCAGTGGTGTTGGGCAAGTGGTCCAGGAACCATTGGGCCAGACACTGTTCACAGTTATGGAGGGTGGAAGAGACTTCTAGGTGGCCCCAGGCAAAGCTGGGGTGCCTGGGCCCTGCCACCAGCAGCCTGCTGGGCCAGGCGCAGCCTTCCCTGACCACAGGCGTTCTGCCACACTCAGCTGCCCAGAAGGGACCTTTTTGGCACAGTACCCTCGACTGCTGTTCTCTCCACCTGGAAGATCTGCAGGGCTGGCCTGCGCCCCTGGAGGTCCCTGGTGCCCTGCCTCACTCTCTGGCAGGAAGTCTGTCTGCCTTGCTACATCTACCCAGAGGACCAGGTCTCTCCTGGCTACAGGTGCTCTCCAGCTCCCTCTTGATAGCTCCATGTCCTGAAGGACATTCATCTCAGGATTATTCCTCTTCTGCTCCTGCCCAGGCGGCACTGGCTCCTCAGACTGATGGGCTCCTCGCAGTGTGAGGAGGTGCGTTGTCAGAGCGCATCCCTGCTCTGAGACCCGCCGCGCCCTGCGCGCGCGCTGCGGCTCGGCTCAGGGAGGGGAGTCTGCGGGGCACCGAGCCGCGCGGCGGGATCGCCTTCGCTGCCACCGCCTCCGCTACCGCCCTTTTCACACCTGCGTGTGCACACGGGCCAAGATGGAAGGCGCGATCCTAACTTCTGCCGCGAGCAGGTGGGAGGGAAGAGAGCCAAGAGGTATTCCATTGGTTGTCTGGGAAAATGAACTGCACCTTCCCTCGCTTGCGAAGGATCAACTTTTCCCTCCCCCTCGGGTGGGCACTCATAACTTAGGGTCGCAACCAGAACCTGGGAGCCAAGCGCCCTTATTCCCAGGGAAGTGGATCTGGGCGGGCGGGGACGCCCCAGACACTGGGGAAAGTGCTTCCTGGGGTCCCGAGTCCCGAGAGTACCCTGAGCTTGGCAAGCATGCGGGGCTCGAGACAAGCGGCGCTGGGGAAGAAGTGGCGAGGCCCGAAGGCGTGGGTTCCCTCCTCCCGAAGGCCCGCCAGCATCGGCCGAGCCGGGTTCCCAAGGGTTAAGCGCAGGTCCTGTCGCGCTGCGGCCGATCCCGCCGCCTGGTCCCGGGCTCAGAGCACCGGCCACCGCCAGCCGCGCGGGACGATGCGGCGCTGGAACGAGGAAGCGCCGCGGCGAGGGGCGGGCCGGGGCGCGCGGCGCGCGGGGGTGGCGGAGGCGCGCGGAGCGAGGCGGGCAAGAAGGGCGAGCGGGCTGCAGCCGGCGGCGGCGCTAGCAGGTACGGCCCGCGCCGCCGCCGCCCGGGGCCCTGTGCGGCTGTGGCCAGCCCCGCGCCGCGACAAAGTTTCTGCGCGCGGCCCGGGAGTTGCGGTCGGGACGGTGCCGCGCCCGCCCGCCCGCGACCCGGCGGCAGGGTGGGAGCAGTGCGCTGGGCTCTGTGCCGCGCTGCGAGTCCGGGTCCGTACCACACACCGCACCCGAAGCCATGTCCCGCTGCTCGTCCCGTCCCTTGTTCCGCTCCTCGTCCAGCTCCGCGTACCCCTTTGTGCCTCCCGCGAGGTCCGCTCCGGGCTCCCGAGCGGCGAGCCAGGAGAGCGCCGGGGAGTACGCACGGGGCGGATGGGGGCGGCTGCCGGGCAGGTCCGGCCTGGACCCCGGTGCGCGCAGCCCCGAAGTTTGTGGGGTGCAGGCCTTGGGCCGCAGGTGGCGAAGCGCTGTCCACAAGGGCGCCGCCCGTGGGCGGCGCTGTGAGCGCGGGGCAGCTGCTGGCCGGCAAGGCGAGAGCCAGGTTGGGCCCAGCAGGGGGTGGGGAGTGCGGCAGAGAAATGGGGAACAGTGCGAGTGAGCAACTCCAGGAAGTCGTTGTGAAAGAAAGCCGGGAAGAGCGAGGCGGCCGAGTTGGCCGGGCGCTCTAACAAGTGCCTTCGGGGCCCCGCGCCGGGCAGCGACTGCCTGACGGTCCCTGGGTCTCGGCGGAGCGCAGCCGAGCCGGAGGGACGCTCGGCCGCTCGGCCGCTCCGAGGCGGCTGACCCAGGAGAGCCCGGCGGGGCGGACGGCGCCCTGGCTCCGAGGTCGCTCTTCGAGCCCGAGGATCAGTCTTGGCCCCCAAAGTGCGACGCGCAGATCCACGTGAGTGTTTTCGGTTGCATTTCAGAAGGAAACCCGGGGGTAGCCGGTGGGTTTGAGAGACAGAGAGGGAGGGAGAGACTGCGCAGTGGGACCCCCAGCCCCTAGTCCTCCTCGCCTTTCTGGGCACAGCCAGAGCGCAGGTGCAGGGCCTGGCCCGCGGTGGGGCAGCTCTGAATCGCCGCTGTCGCCAGGAGGAATGCCTGGAGCCGGTCACGTCTGAATTGATATTTACTCACACAGCGAGATCAGGAGGCCAGCCTTGATGAAGTCACTCATAAAGGCCCTTTTTCTTATTTTGGGGTGAGGGAGTTTGCTTTTACTGCACAGTAAATCATACCAGACTCGGAACTGGCTTTCTGCAAAATAGGGTTCTCCCGGCTTGAAAAGTTCATGGTGCTTTGGCTGAGGGGATGTTGGCTGTCAGGTTAGAAAACATCAGGCGTCAGGTTACTTGGGACTAAATCTGAAGAATTCTAAAACCTCGTCAGGGACCCCGGTGTTTCTTAAGGAATTTCCCAAAGGTGTGATTTGTTCGATGTTGTCACTTGGAGGATCAGAGCATGGCCTGCAGAGGGGGACCCATGCTGGGGTCTCTTGGGGTCTGACAGGCACAGCTTTCCAGCACAAGCCCCATCCTCTCCAGGCGCAGCCGGCTCTCCCTGGACGGCTGGCCGCTCAGTCCCCCAGCTCGCTCCCCACGGGGTGTCTCGGCTTCGAGGTGCCTTGTTTTGGACTTGAAGAGAGAAAACTGCTGTTGAAGAAATATCTCCTTTCAAAGAGGAAAAAAGTGTGAAAGTTGAAAATATTTAATATTTTATATCCTGAGCATGATATTGAACGTAGGTGGAAATGGAAGTGGTTGTAAGGAGCCGGGAGGAGAGAGGGACCTGCCGGGAATGGTTGGAGCCTCTTGAATTTATGTCTTTGTTTCAAAACGTTTTGTGTGATGAGGTTAATGGGACTCATCTTTTACCTGGGATTTTGAAAGTGACAATTTAACTATTATTTATATTGAATGTGTCAGAATTGTTTCCGTGACACATCAGATTATTTGGTTTGTGGCTTAAAATTTAGACAGTGACAAACATCCATGACAGGATTACCTGCCTACCTTGTAGAATATGCAGAATGTGTTAGAAAATAACTTGTAGACACAAATAGAAATAATGATGTCACAGTTTAAAATCCTGTGCTATTCTGGTTTGATATAATGTATCTGATTTCAAAATCTCTCAAACATACAAGTTTATGCCCTTTTTACATGGTGGGGGGTGCTTCCTGGTCTAAAAGTTTACCAGTGCTGGTGCCTAAGATGCCTTATTGAGTTCAAGTGGTCGCGTTTTCTCCCATTTCTGTTTTCTGGGGACGCAGTGGGAGGCAGGAGTTTTAGCAACTCCACCGTGGTTCTGTGTGTGGTGAGGTTCATCTGCGTTTCAATGAAAGCACTGCACGCTGAAGAACTACACACCCTCCAGAACGCCGGAGCCCCTAGCAATCCCAGCCCCCGCTGGGGCTGAGCCCGCAGGGTCTGTAGGTAAGCGTGCATGGGGCACGTCTGGTTCTTTGTGAAGGTGCTCCCCACCCCCCACCCCCCCGCCGTCTCTGAGAAGGCAAACTGGAGCCATCCTTGCAGCCACTTCTCTGGTTGAAAAATCAAGATCACAGTGAGTTGCCCAGCCAGAGACCCAATGCCCACACCTGTGGGGCCTGCGCCTTGTCCTCACTTCACTGGAGACAGAGAATTTCAAAACAGTGGCTCTCTGGTCAGAGTTGTTTTGTTTTGCTTTTTTTTTCTCTCTTTCCTTTCCACACCCGACTTGGATTTGTGTATTTCATGTTTGGCTAGTGTAGTAGCCTGTTGTCAATCCAAACGAGAGACTTTTGAGATTCAAGAGAGCACTATGTATATGCCGTCTACCGAGTACCAGAACCCCCCCAACCCCCACGCACGTGTGTTGTGTGTGTCCTTTGAGGCTGTGCGTGCGTGAATGGGTGCAAGAAATAGACACACATGTGCAGCACACACACAGCATGCGGAGAGAGGCACCAGACCACCTGGCCTGAGCAATGCAGCCCTTTCTCTTCAGTTTTTGTTTGGTTGGTAGTTTTTTACCTGTTTTTAGGATAGGGTGGGTTTTTGCGTGTGTGGTGGTGAGTTTAGGCGTGAACGAGGTGAGCACCTTGGGTGTCTGCCTACGTGCACACCTTGGATGCGCTCACGCAGGCCGGTGTGGCCAGCCCAGGGTCTGTCGTGCTGGCACCGGTCAGTGGCCTCTTCGGTTCTCCTCTCCTGTAGTCTTGCAATGATGAGACAAGCATGGCTTTGCAGCCTCTTTCTAAGGCAGGGTCATGGCCGTGGGTGCAGCTCACAGAGCACAAGCCCTGTGCTGTTTCTCAGGCTGACGGGAATTCGGGGGGCTGTGACTCCTGCTTCCTGCCCCCCTGCCCTGGCCCTTAGCATCGTCCCCTGTCTGCTGTCCCTCCACTTCTGTTCCCAGAGCCCCCAGACATGTGTGCCGTGGTCCATTCTTTGGGAGGAAACACAAAATGTAAAAGCCACAAGTGAGCCATGCTTACAGGCCCAGAGCCACTGGTCCGGGTCCCACCTGGAGGCAGCACGTCCTGCTTTGCTGCAAACAGGTGCCCGGACCCATGGGATGCCGGCCTCCATGGGGCCGAGTCCCAGGTATCAGCTCTGTGCACACTTCCAAAGCTCAGGCGAGGAGGGAGATAGCGCCGGCGCTGGCTGGGGACTCTGGGCTGCCCACACCAGCGGTTTTTATCATGGTGTCAGCTCGCCGCGCCCACGGCTCCTTCCTGGGGACCGGTGGTGTGACTGCCGCTCCTTGCAGCTTAATAAATGACTTCCCGCCTGAGCTTAGTCTCCTGTAACGTGGGTTCACGTCCTTCACGTTCCCATGCTGTGCCTTTAATGGCTTACGTTTGACGTAGTTTTTAAATGTTTGATGATATCCTGACAAATATTTTTAAGATATTATGAATCTTTGAGAGTGAAGGGAAGCAGCAAGCAGAAGAAGCTCTACAGACATTTCTGAGTGGAGAGCTGGGCTGGCCCTCCCTGTGGGGGTGGAGTCCCTGCCCCTGCCCCTGCCCCTGCCCCTGTCCCCCAGCCCGAAGGGAGCAGCCGAGGCCTGGTCTGCCAGCACAGCCGAGGGCTTCAGCTGCCTCCTGCCCTTCTCACACTTGACCGTGACGAATGGCTGTGCCCTCAGTGAGCCGCCTGGTGGAAAGCTGTTAAACCCAGTGAAAACCCCGAGTCCCAGGTGTGGGGGCCACTTGTCTTCCCGCTAAAGGCCTGGCCCCATGTCCCTTCTCCTGGGGCCATTTCTGTCTTTGGGGAGCTCGGGAGTCCTGTTGCCTGAAAGAGGCCCGTGCTCCACCGCAACCTGTCACGTCGGAGCAGCCAGTAACCTCTGAACCCACTTTGGTCAGAGCAGGAAGCTCAGGCTCCCTTCCTGCCTCTGTTTTCCTGACAAAAAACTTTCTTCCCTCCTTTTTTGCATATTTGGCGAATGGTTCCACCTTTCTCTCCGCCCCAGTGGAGTGTGAGGGTGGCAGAGAGGAGCAGGCGGCTGCCAGGACAGCAGGGTCCCTCCCAGGAGGCCAGGTTGAGGGGCCTGCGTGGTCCAAGGACCCAAATTGTCCACGTCGGGACTTGTGTGGGAGGCACAGGCTCACTGGTGAGTGCCCCCCGCCCTGGGTTCTGTGCTGCGCCCCCCTGGACAGGGGGCCCTGCACCCTGCATCTGTTGCATAGGCCGCCGGGAGGGGATGGAGAGAGTCAGGAAGGCCCACCACTCTCTCTGCTTCTGGGTGGCCCCACATGCCACCTCCTGACTGCGTTCTGAGTGGGGCCACCACTTAACAGGTGGTTTAAAAAGGGCTCTAATTAGTGGGAAAGTGCCTTCTCTGACCTCTCTTACTCACGTGGGCCAGGACCCCTTTCCCCGCGGCAATCACTCAGTGCTGAAGGAAATCTGACTTTCTTCCTGCCATGTTCCCGCCAAAAGTGTGCTGTGACGGACAGGCAGTGGGCGCCGAGGTTCTGGGGGGGCAATGGGGGCAGCAGGGGGGCCACGCCACCCCTCAGTTCTTTCCTTTTCTTCTTCCTCCCACCCTGCTTCCTTTCACGTGTGATGTTTTACAGAAACTATGAAAAAAAAACTGAAAAGGGCACAAAGTATTTCTAAATGGCCTTATACATATTGAAATAGATTTTTATGCTTCATTTCTGAGATCGCATACTAAACTCGACACTCTAGAACACTCTCTGTTAGTCTGAAACTGCTTAAAAATGACCAGCATAGCACGGGCGAGAGCCTGTGCCTGAAGCCAGGAGCTCCACACTGAGTATTGATTCGTCAGTTTTGGGTAAATTTGTGTGGTTAAATCAGATTTTTACTGGCAACCTTGGAGCAAATAAAACAGCACATAAGGTGCCTCCCTGGAACTGATGGGAAAATGTTTAATTTAGAATGTTTAGGAGAAATGAAAATGAGGGATTGATCTTTCCTGCGCTTACTTTGGGAGCCTTCTAAACCGAGCTCCAGAGTGCCCCATGGGACCAGAGAGAGCCCGCGACCCGGGGCCAGCCCGAGAAGGCGACCTCCTTCACTCCCCTCTCATGGAGTTCTGTGCGAGCAAAACTCAGAGAGATCCACAGTGAAACAGTGATACACTGTGTATCCCACTCCATTAAATTAAAATCATTCGGCTAATTATCTCAGGTTGTTAGAGATAAGGCAACTAATTACCATTTTAAAAAGATTAGGGCATGTCTAGCGCTTCTTTGTGAGTGTTTTCCTGCTCCTGCCTGGGGTGGTATATGTTTCCCTGCATTTAAAGAATTTTCAGATTAATTCAGAGCAGACAAGGCTTTTATAAAAGGAATGTAATTTGCTTGAAAAAAAAGAAATATTAAAGTAAAACATTGAAAACAAATAATTTAAACATATCTAAGGGCTGCGGGAAAATCAGACT